CTCGCTGTTGCCTCTCGATCTCTGCCGTATCTACCAGATCTATACTTCCTATCACTGGATCTACTCCCCATCGCTTGTCCTTGCCAAGTAAGGTCATTCTTTTCGTCTCCTTTGTTGCCTTATTTCCTATTGTGCTCTACTATTCCTTCTTTAAAGACTTTTCTTCCTTCACCCGTCATGCTGCTGCTCCAGAAAGTGATATGTGCTTGTTATTCTCTCATGTCCATCCCCTCTTTGTTTATTTTAGACCAGAGGAAGATATAATGCGTGTAACATGAGTACAGATGCCCATAAGATGCATTTTTGGAACTTGGTATTTATAATGCTATTAGTTCAATCATCTTTTCTACATTTTTGGAACTCACTTGTTATGTGTTCCTCGAATAGTTTGTGAAGCCATAGATTGCTTTGCTTGTAGTGTGTCATCTAAAATTATTGTTGAAGTGTTTCCAAGGCTTTCATACTCTGACTTGAAGGATATTTATGTTGTTTGCTGTTTTCATATTGACATGAAAATGAGCAACGGTCATTCAATATTCTGAGCTTTTTGGTATGTTATGATTGGCTTATCCTGTTACTGGAAAGAATAGGTGGTGTTAATTTTTTTTTTCTTTTTGGGAGTAAGGTTACGACAGAGTAGAGTATTTTTTTTTCTCAATTAATCTCAATCAATCTTCTATAGCTCAAGAGAGAGGATTTGTAAATATAGCACGATTATTATCATTATCATGAGTAGCTATGGCGATCCAATTAGCATATTTATTAGTTTCCTTTTGTACTAGCTCTCTTTTATACATGGTGTAACACACCAAATTTTTTTTATAATTTAACTCAACCATAGTTGGGTTACAGCCACCCAACATATTTTTATATCAATAATTTCAATATAAAATATTTTATAATTGGCTTCAACTCACACACTATAACATTTCAGATAAATTTTTACCTCCCACATGCCATTAGGCTAAATCACATTTGTCCATCCTTATACTCCCAACAAGTAAATTAAATCACATTTGTCCATCCTTATACTCCCAACAAGTAAAATAAGCAATTTAGTCAATTTTCAACATAAGCCAGTTATTTGGCCTTATAATCATGCCAATTTAATCAATCCAAAGTGAACCAAATATTAAAATTACAGTCATCCAAATTGTACCAAAAATAGAAATAGTTTGAAAGGCATGATTACATTTATATATTCATATAATTGACAATAAATAAAAAGCCCTAATATTGGCAATATAACACATTATAAATCATAAATTAAATACCCAAAAGAGACAGTGGATCTATACCACTAAGCCTCTGGGACTCCTCCACGTGTTACTCATGGCTCTTCTCCTGAAAATTGTTAACCACATAATGAGACTCAAAAGTCTCAGTAACCAAAGCCAATTTATGATAGTGTATACAAACAGTTAAGTGTGTGCTTACTAAGTAAGAATTAAAAATAATATAATTCCAACAAATATAAGAAATATTATAATACACACAAACAACCATCCTTATATCCCTCCATTAACCTCGAGCCGTAGCCCTCACTCGGTACTAAATTACCCGGCCAAAGGTAGATTAACCCGAGCCCTTACAAGCCACCTATTGAGCTCTAACAGGGGCGTATCACGTGGCACATAAATACAACAATAATAGCAAGTCTCCCAACACCTCCCACAATAATTAAACAAATTCATAATAATATTGCATAATTTTATAATATTACAAAATTCATAATTTTCTCAATAATCACCCAATTAACATGGAGTAACACAAATCACAAATTAAAAGCATGGTTACCTTGTGGCTTTTTCAATAAATTATTCCTTAAAATTTCTCTCTCACCACAATCTTCACCAGTAATACAATCTACAAATAACATATTATTTATAAATATTAGTTTCAATTTTTGAAACTAATAAAATAATTCTAATAATAGAATTAAAAATATAACATAATTTCTAATCTCAATCTTAATACAAATTTAGAGTTAATACTATTAAGTAAAATTTTTAACTCCTCTTTTAATTATCAATAAACATTAATAATCTAAAAAATTAGCTTCTAAACTAATTTCTATTATCAAAATTTTTTTTATTTCATAAATTCGTACCTAAAATACCCAAAAATTAAAAATTGAGTCTCTAGCTTAGAATCATAATCCTATAACCATAATAATTCATTCCTCATCCCAAATAATCATCTAAACTCAATAACTCAACATATATTTTCAGATCTAATTTAGAATTTGATCCATAAGCCACAAATTCAAAGATCATCAACAAATTTATACTCTAGAACATTTATTATACTACTGACAACCTCAAAAACCATATTTATTCAACATAAATTCATCTCTCTTCCAGATCTTAAATTTTCTACCACTACAAACTCAGAAACCAAAGAAGAAGGATGACTAAGAAAAATTTTTAGAATACTTATTTAGTCTTGAAAAGCTTAAAATTACACCCTAAATATTCTATTAAAAACTCTTACCTTAAAACCCAGCACCGGTGAAATTGCGCACCGTCGCCCCCTCTATTCGCGCACGAAGAGAAATGAAAAAGGAAGGAGAAATGAAGAAACGAAGAAGAAGGGATGGGTTTTTAAAAAAAAATACTGTGGGGTCCCACATTTTTTTTAATTATTTCCTCTCTCTTCTTTTTTTTATTATTATTATATAAATATAATCATTGCATCGGGGAAGAGCACCGAAAGCCGTTTTGTTCTCTTCTTTCTTTCCTTCTTTCTCATACCTTTTTATTATTATTATAATAATAATAATAATAATAATAATATTATTATTATTATTATTTTTTAATTTAGAATTATATCCTAAGTTAGATTTAATAATCATCTCCTACTAATTTGCTTACCTCTAAATATTTTTTAAAAATTTTTATTTACCAAAAATTAACTATTAAAATTTAAATTGGGATGTTACACACGGTCCATGCTATAGCATCTTTTTTATTATAACTTTCTAACTTAGAGTCTTGTAGATATCAAGGATGTGTGTAGTAGTATGTAACACACATTAAAATGTGAAATCAAATTAAAAAATTATAGCTGTGAGTGACATGCAAAATATGCATTGTACTATTATTATTGTGGCAATTTTACAATATTAACCACCCAATGTAAATGCTGAAGGTCATATGATTCATAGGTCAAATGCTAAAGCATACCTCAGCTTCCTCTTGTTGTACTTTAGCTTGCTCTAATTCCTACTTGTGCTTCAATTCTTTTTGTGCGAGTTGCATTATTTTAAATTTTTGTTCTTCATTATATAAACTCCATGAATTTGAAAAATGCCAAACTGAAAATAGGAGATCTATATTGATTTGAATATATGTAGAGATATATATTGATTTTGCATGTTTGTGATGGCTGGCTAGTCTATACAATAATGAACAGGGACAAAGGAAAAGCTGTGTGGAATTCAACTTTATTGAATGGTTGCAGGAAAATCCTCTTTATGAAAAATTTAAATATAAAGGTTTGAGATTTGCAAGGGAATTAACCTTGATATTCAAGGATGTCCTGGCAACTAGAGAAACACTTTTTGTACCATCTGCTACCCAGACCCAAATAGAGAATGATGATGATGAGGATGTGTACCGCCTTACTATTGACCTTCGAGAAGGCTCCGATGATAGTGAAGAGGAGCTAAATTTATCTAACATCGCAGCACCTACGGGGGTCACCGATGTGTTGTTGGGCTTGAATGTCACCACAAATACCGATGGAACTAGTGGTGACGGAAGTCAAGGTAAGAGAAAGAGGGTGGTAGGCATTGGTGGGAGGAAAAAGCAAAAAGTCCCTACGTTAATGAAAATAGCAAATGCGATGAGTGAAATGGCCAAGGATAATAGAGCTAGAATAAAGACAGTGAACAAGATTTTAGCAAATGACATAGGAGTTTCTGAGGTTGTGGCTCACCTAAATGGACTCCCAGAAGTTTTTGGTGATAAAGATTTACATTGAAAATGTGTCAATCTTGTCTTGTACAAGCCTATGTGAGATGCTTACTGGCAACTTAAAGATCATCCTGATCACTTGATCAATTGGTTAAAGCACCAAGTTTACCATTTACCAGATTGGATTTTAAAAAATACATCTGGATGAATTTTTATCTAGGCTTATGATGACTGGACTTGTGTTTGACTTGTAGTTGCTTTATTTTGACTTGTATTTGACTTGTAGTTGCTTTATTTTGACTTGTAGCTTGCAAATGATGACTTGGTTTGTAGTGAATATTTAACTCTTATCTAATGCTTATCTTATGCTTTATCTTTTACGTTATTGAATGATATTTGTATACTATGTACTTTATATTATATACAAATGATATTTACATACTATTTTACCTCAGGTTTAAAAATCATGGAAGATTTAAATGAATATATGTTAGGTTGGAATGAAGGTTGGGATGTAGATGTGGCTCATCAACTACTTCCCTTGTTACAGCAAGATATAACGGAGCAAGAAGAAATATGTCAATTAGTTAGTGAATATGTGATGCCATATGTGTGTAAAGAGCCACGGAGAACTAGCATGCAAACAGGACAAATGTGGGTCAATGAGATTTTGCAAGGTCATCCTGATCATTGTTATGAAATGTTTCGAATGGAAAAACATTTGTTTAGGCAATTGTGTGCGACACTAATTGATCTTGGTCTAAAAAAGTCTAAAAAAATAAGAGTTGAAGAAATGGTTGGAATGTTTTTAAATACAGTTAGACATGAAGTTAGTAATAGGATGATACAGAAACAATTTCAGCATTCAGGGGAAACTGTCCATAGAAATTTTCATAAAGTATTAGCTGCCTGCCTTAACCTTTCCAAGGCAAACATAAAGCCACTCGATCCTTTGTTTCAACGATGTCATTCAAAAATTCAAAATGATCCACGATATTGGCCATTCTTTAAGGATGTTATAGGAGCAATTGATGGCACTCATGTGCCATACGTGGTTAGTATTGCCGATCAAATCAAATTTATTAGAAGAAAGGGATATGCAACATAGAATGTTATGGCTGTATGTGATTGGGACATGTATTTTACTTTTGTCATCACGGGATGGGAAGGTACAGCTCATGATGCTCGAGTATTTGATAATACCATATCAACTCCTTCAATGCATTTTCCGCATCCACCTCCAGGTATATTTTATTAAAGTCACTATAATTATTATTGCATTGATTTAATGTTGGTCAAATTTACATCACTTCCTTTCATTTAATAGGTAAATATTATTTGGTTGATTCTGGTTATCCAACACTAAATGGGTATCTTGGTCCATATCGTTGCGAACGTTATCACCTTCCAGACTTTAGGCGAGTTGCAGGATTTGCAAACAATAATGAGGTCTTCAATTATTATCATTCAAGTCTAAGATGCACTATAGAAAGAACTTTTGGAGTGTGAAAGAATAGGTTTGCAATTATATGAAAAATGCCCAAATTTAAATATAAAACACAAGTTCAAATTGTTTGTACAACAATGGCAATACATAATTTTATTAGGAGAAATTCAATTACTGACGAGCATTTCATACAAGCTGAAGATGAAAGTGTAGAAGTCCAGGAGGAAGATATCGATATTGGTGAAGCATCCTCGTCAAATCTACCTGGATCATCAAGACAAATGCAACGTGTTCGTGATACAATTAGAGATCAACTTGTAAATCATATCAATTAAAGATTAATTTATTTTAGGTTTTCATGGTTGAATATTTAAGATATTTTCCTTATTAGTTGTAATTTTAAGTTTAATATTTTTTATTTATTAGTTAGTCAAAAAAATATAAACATGCTTATTTAAGATAAAAAATTTATGCTTATTTTTGCCATTAAATATCTCAACTAGCTTTTGAATTAAATCATCCAAACGAATTTCAGTTTATCTGACTGACTTTTAAAAAAAATGATATTCAAACATAAATCACGTTACATCAACTGACTTTTCTTCTAACCTCAATTTACTAACCTCAGTTAAATCCTAACCTCAGTTGTAAATTTTTTAATCCAAACACACTCTAAATCTATTAATTCAACCATTAAGAGTTGGGAGGATGGTGTTATAGTAGAGGGTCATAGTCTCATGGAAAGCAAACGAGTGTATAAAACATGGATTTAGATTTACAGGACAATGAATGATCAATTGGGATTTAAAGCGCAAAAGGAGTAAGGGACTTGCAAAAAAGAAAGGAAGGGAAGAAGAATAACGTCCAATTCAATGCCAAAAATCAAACAAAAAAAAAGAAATTAACAAAAAGTTCATCCTTTTGTCCCCGTTGATGGGGGGATCGATTTCGGTGCTCAGCACCAAAACACTACCATTTGGCAGTGTTTTGTTTTCTTTTTTTTAAATCATAAACTCATTATAATAATAATAAATAAATATTATAAAATTATTATATTAATATTTAATAAACAAATAAATATTAAGATGTTAAAGTTAAACCTGAATAGTTTTGACTCATTAAAATTTGACTTGAATAGTTTATATATAAACTTTGATCTAAATAGTTTAGGACTGCATTGAAAAAATTAGAATTGAAACAAAAAAATTTATTTTTTTATTTTATTAATTTTGCACAGTTGTCTATCAATGAAAAGTAATATTTTTCAAGGCATGATCGTGTATTAAATATAGATACTTTTCTTAATAAGAATTTAAATTTGATTTGTTACAGTGTAAGAAATTAACTTATTTTGCTAAACTTAACCTCAATTTTAAACTCTTCAAATCATTTTTTTACTTTTTTAATATAATTTTAAACTGTTCAAACTAAAATTTTTATTTGAGCTACTCTAATTTAATTTTAAGATCTTAGTATTTATTTGTTTATTCAATATTAAAGTAATATTTATTTATTTATTATTATAATGAGTTTGTAATTTAAAAAAATAAAGAAAAAACACTGCCATGTTTTTGGTACTGAGGACCATGATGCTCATCCTAAGATGAGCGCCGAAACCAGTTCCGTTGATGGGGGAGATCTCATAGGTGTTGGGTCCCACTCTGGCGTGTTAAAATTCTAGAATAGATTCCGAAGTGGGGCATCTTTAATATTTAACATGAAACCTCTGAACAATGAACCAAGCTTAGCTGAAAGGGGTCCGTTCACAGTTTGTTCTACCTATCACTGTCATTGACAGTTTTTAACCTTTACAAACTTAGCTTTACTAAATCTAAATCATAGATAGGACAGTGAAACAAAGGGAGACACAATGTTCAGGAACAGAGAAAGAGAAGAGTGGTGGAAAGCTGACACATAGCGTCATAGTCACAATGCAAGTAATCAATGCAGAAAATAGAAGGGAGATACTCATACTAGAAATGAGTTGTTTATATATTGAATAGCAATCATGTGCACAATTCTACGGGAACATTCAACAACATATACAATAGGCAATGATCCAAATAGAATTGCAGAGGAGTGCCAGAGCAGAGAGAAATGTCAAAGGAAAAGATTCTATTTGTCTTATGTTATTCCTGGCTATACACACAATATTAGACAGCATTTGAATAGAGAAGACAGAAAGATACAAAGATACATGCAAATTATTCTTAAGTTATGGAATATTCTTCTGAATCAATCTTCATCCACTAATGATTGAATATAGGTAGGAGTGGCGGTTGTACTGTTCTTGGATGTGGACGGCATACATTGCCGTATATGCCATGAAGTTTATTCAGCAGCTTAAAAAACCCTCCAAGAAATAAAAGGATAAAGAAAAGGGACCACCATGGAAGTTGCAGAACTAAAGGTATCAGAGAGGCAACAGCCAAACAGCCAGAGGTTGACATGAGTACTTCAAACAAAGAAGCAAATCAAGAAACAAGAACTTGGCTGCAAAACTGAAGTAATATGCTATGGAACATAGGACAACAACCACAAAAATGATAGGGTGAAGGTGGAAGGGTAGGGTATTGGCGACTGAACTTCGAATTTGAAAGAAGGTAAGTAGAATTGTAATGGTGGGAGCGAAGACGAAGTTGGGGGGAAAGGCTTCAAGAGAGAAATTGAAGATGTTGACATTAGAGAAAAAGAACACAGCATTAAGGATTTGCCTTCTTGAATAGAAGTAGTGGCTATTGCCATTGTCATTAGAAGTAGTCCCAGTTTGTTAAAAGAAACAAAAGATAAATTCATGTGACTAAGCCACTGAGGATTATTTATGAGAAAATTTGTTTAAGACCCTCGATCACATTTAATAAAAAAGAAGGTCCCTTAAATTTTGAAAATTCACATCAAACCAAGGTTACTGAAGTGAATTTAAAATGCAAAGTAAAATTACTTCATTATCCCTCATCCCCTTTAATTCTTTATTGAAGTTATTTATTTCTCTACATGAAGTTATTTAGTAATGACACAAACAATTCTTGCAAATCAATGAATAACTTAATGTAAGGAAATGAACAACTCATTTTACAATTATTATTACACTTTAAATAAAATTAAAATTTAATAATGGCACAAACAACTCCTGTAGGTCAATAAGTAATTTCATGTAGGGAAATAAACAATTCATTTTACCATGATTAAAATGCTTGAAACAAAATCAAGATTCAGTAATGGCACAAACAATTTTTATAGGTCAATGAATAATTTCATGTAGGGAAATAAACAATTTTAATAGAGAATTGGAGGGGATAGAGAATAATGAGGTAATTTTACTCTGCATTTTAATTTTACTTTAGTACCCTTGGTTTGAAGTGAATTTTCAGAGCTTGAGGGGCCTTCTTTTTCATTAAGTATGGTCAAAGGATTTAAAATAAAATTTTTCCATTATTTATCGTGATAATCTGTCATCACGTGCCTTTTTTTTTCATTAAAGTAGCAATGTATATTAAAAACTAAAAAATTTCAGTGAGTTCCAAGAAATAACGGGATGGTGAAATTCTTTTCAAATAAAAGTATCAATTACTAAAGCATGAAATTTTTTCATACAAAAAAAAACGGAGGGTGAAATTCTTTTCAAATGTGTCTTTTAGAGTAAAGCACTAAGGGAAATTTAATTAAAAAAAGCATTGTGAATGATAAAAATGCCATCTTTGTCAAGGTTTTTTCTTGAGTTTTTTTTTTGGAACTTGCATCGAGGTTAAAAATGGATCAAGCAGATCCGAATAAGCAATGTTTTAACGAACTTAGTTTATTATTCAATAAAAGAGTAAATTAGCTTGAAAACTATATATCCAAGAGTGTTTTGGACATTAAATTTTTTTTTTGGTACAATATTTCCTTTAACTTTTAAAAATGGTGCACTTTAACACTTACTATTAACAAAAGTTAACTTTGACAGTTAATTCATCAAAAAAAAATAAAAGGATCTTAAAAATTATAAGAAATGACAAAAAAATTATATTAAAGGATCCAAAAATTACAAACAAAGATCCAAAAATTACAGAAAAGAATCAAGAAAATTTTATTGGTAATTTTTTAATAATTTTTGAGATCATTTTTTAATCAATTGATAGTTAAAGTTAACTTTTGTTAACGATAATGATAATATTATACTATTTTCAAAGTTGAAAAAAGAACATTGTACTAAAAATAAGTTTAGAGTCCCAAACATTTCTGGACTTATAATCTAAGAGTCAATTTGCTCTCTTATTGTTTGGTATTTTTGAAAATTTAGCTCAGATTATCACTATCTTAAGCTAAAATTCAAGAGACAGCGTGAGAGTGAACAGCAAAGAGCAAGAAACAAAAATGGGTGTAGTGGACTTTTCACCGAGCTCGCCGAGATGATTTAGATTCGACGGCCCTATCTAAAATAATGCAGGAGCAAAGTCTCAAATATATAAAAGATTATATAGCAAAGTTTCGAATATATAAAAGGGGAAAAAATATATAAAAGAAGCTTGAGTTTGAAAAGGAAAAAATACATATCCAAAATTTCACCCAATAAAGCGAATGTTCTAATATAAAAAGCAAAGCATGAATAAAAGAGCTGACCAGTAGTGGTGCTGGCCAAGGTCGGCCATTGTTGGGCTGATGAGTAGCTAAAGTCCAGCTCAGAGCATGCTCATTCTCATTCTCGTTCTCGCCTTTCGATGATGACAGCGACCACCATGCACGGAGGTTGTTCACCAATACCACCGCAGTGTTCAACATCTTCATCAGAAACGGCAATAGACCTTCCCGCACTCGTTGTGACATCTCTGCTTTCATATGCAATCTACGGAGCATGTCAATCATCAATATACACACACACACACACATTGGAGGCGGTGACAAGTTGGGTCAACTTTCATATATTGTTCATTACATTGAAAGTGACTTGGACACTGTCACTTTCATGGACGCTCAATGAGACGCAAAGTAGCGATTGGGTTTCAAAGTTGCATTTAGTCGGCATGTGATTGAATAGTGAATTTCTGTTGAATAAAATTAATTATGAGAAAACAATTAATATGATCAATTTTAATTAAATTTGCTTATATTATAATGTGATCGTGTTTGAATGTTATTTTTTAAATGGGTTCCAAAGTTGTTTTTATTTTGGACGTGATTGAATATTGAATTTTTATTGAATAAAATTAATTATGAAAAGAATAATTAATATGATTAATTTTAATTAAATTTTCTTATATTATTATAATGTGATTATGTTTGGATGTTATTTTTTAAATCTAATTTTGATAAAACTAAAAATATTTGGATGATTTTTGTTAAAATCATTTTTAAATGTACAAATTACTGTAGAAAACATTACTTTTTAAAATTAAATATTGATAAATTTGTATATAATATTATTAAATTTGTTAAACTCTATTTAATAAATAA